CTACTCCGTGCCTGCCCCCACCCCGCGCGCTCCCGGCGTCCGCGCCATCCGGAGACCCCTGCCCCGCTTTGCTGGGTCAGCTTTTCAGCTGAGAACTGGAGAAGTTTCCTCCTTCAGGAGTGGGAGGAAGGGCACAGGGTCCTCTCCAGGGTGGGAGCAGGGGGAGCCGTGCTGAAGGGTCATTGATCCCCGCAGATGCTCAGAGGAAAGGCCATCTTCCCGGGGTCAGGAGGACTGTCCCCTTCCATTCCAGCTGTTGGCATTCAGTATACCTGATGTGTTGGCATCTATGAAGGCAGTGCATACTACCACCATTTGCAATAAAGGGAAATGGAGACAAACGTATAACTTTTCTTTATGTTGATACCAGTGCTACATTTTTATTTGTTTAATAGTAGTATTAAAACAAAACAAATAGTTCTGGTACGGGATGTTGAAATAGTTCTGGTGTGGACTGTACTGCTCTCAAAAGGGTCACAGTGCAGGGCTCAGGAGAAGGCTGGGGACCCTGCGGTGTCAGGGCAGGACCCAGGGACCCCAGCGAGCGGTCCTACCCCTGCTGTTGTACCCTCTCTGTCTAAGGAGTCCTTCGGCTGTAAAGTCCGAGCACTGCCGACAGGCAACTACCCGCCCCCCCCCACCCCCCCAGCCTGAGCAGATCTGCAGCCACTGAGGAAGAAAATCAGCCACAAATGCAAATAGCTAATTGGTCCAGAGGGAGCTGCTCTGGTGAGGAAAAATCAACAAGTTATTTATTTGTGTAGCTACAGGGAATTGGGAGGGGGAGTGAAGAGGGGAAGCCGAGGGGTGATTACAGGAAGAGGCACAGGTGAGGGAATTGGGGGTGGAGTGGGGATCACCCCTGCGGCTCCTACAGTTCTCCTCTCCTCATCCACCCCCTCTCCCTCCCTCCTTCCTCTGCGGGGTTCCTGGAGGCTTGAAAGGGACTTTAGTAGAAATTTGGTTCTCCCCTCCCTGTGAGTCAAGTTCCCCACAATTCTCATTGCCACTCAAGTTTAGTTACAGAACAAATGCCAGTCATTTCGTACTGATGGTGAACTGGAACCAGAGGCAGGAGGATATGAAAGCCTCAGCCGCCAAAGGGAATGAGGCTGAGGGGACCAGGCGAGAGGGGAGAGCCTCTGAGCCCCTCCTGGTTCCCTGTTTCTCTTGGGCTCTGTGCGGAGGTGTGTGTGTCTGGGGATGCCAGGCCACGAGGGAGTTTCCAGGGGATCGGCCTTCTCTCTGTTCCATCCTGTCCCAGAGTGGTTGGTATTTCTCTGGACCAGTGCCTTTTCAGCGTCTGGCTGGTTCCTGGGGATTCCAGCATAGCTCAGGAGGAGACCCCCCCAGACCACAGGGAGGGGAGACAGGAAAGCCTAAAGGGGGTGAGGAGAAGAATGAGGACCCCCTTCAGGCCTTTTCAGTGTTGGGGATCTAACATGGCACTTCCATAGGTAGGAAGGTGCTGTGAAATGGGGAGCAGGGTAAACAGTTTATATGAAGGAGGTTTCGCCTAAGACCAGAGTGGCAACTGGTTGATGAAGGACTTTCTCCAGTGCTTGAAAAGTGGTTCATGCTTGACCCTAGGCAAACTTACAGGATGAATGTGAGCTCTGATCTCTCAAGTGGCATTTCCTGTACTTAACACAGAAGACACCTCTTCTCCCTTCAAACCCGGCTGATGTATTTTATTTTTTTAAATTTTATTTTATTGTTTAAAGTATTACAAATAGTAGTACATATGTCTCCTTTTTTTCCCCCATTGACCTTCCCCCAGCCTCCCCTACCCGCCGGCACATGCCCTTAACCCATCTGTAGTGTAGGGCTGCACTACATTTTGTTTATCCGGTATGTTGATTTTTAAAAGTTGTAAGAAGAAAATGAACCTGTCCACCTTTGTTTAATGATTATGCATCCTCCCTTGAGGAGACTCGTTTGGGCAGAGTATATGATTTCTTGGATCACTGCCCAAGAAGGGGAGGCAAGATGGGGTGGTCGGGTCCAGAGATGGGCTTGAAGACTCACCCTGGCAGGGAGGAAAGGCCCAGGCTTTCGGCCCTGAGCTGGGCTGGGCACACAGGATTGTGCTGGCAGAAAGTGTGGCAGGAGTTGTTAATGACTGTTTATTCTCCACAGGCTGCCCTGGGTCAGTCTGATAAGAGGGAAGAGATAGGCTCCTTGAGTGTTATCCTCCTGACAGCTGCCTTCTCTGGCGGGCCCCGGACACCGATGGTCCTTTGTGGTGCTGCTCTTGCTCTATCCCCTCTCCTTCCTGAAGTGCACGAGCCCTGGCGTCAGCCCAGCTGGGTTTCCCCTGTCTGCCGGCCAGCTCTCTTCCCATCTGTGGTCAGATAAGGTCTGCCCTAGGAGAGGGTCAGTCCTGGTGAGACTGAGCCAATTGTGAGCCGGACCTCAGGGTGGGAAGCCACTTAGGGTGGGGCCAGGACTCCCAGGCCTGTCTGGTCCATTTTGGTCCGGGGGTCACCCTGCTGCTCAGCCAGCCAGACCTGGGGCCACAGGGCTTTGGAGGAGCCCCACCTTTGCCCCAGAGTATTGGGAGATCCCGCTGTTTTGCTGGAAGGAGTGGGGATGGGGATCTGATGGGATTTCTGTGGTCACTTTGGCCTCTCTCTGGAAAGTGAATTGGAGGGGTCTCTTTAGTAGATCCGGGGCTACTGTCGGTGAAGGGTGACAGTTCCTTGGATAATATGATGGTGGTAGACGTGGAGAGAAGTAGAAAGAGAAGTGATTTAGGTGATAAAAATCAGGTGGAGCCCTAGTTGGTTTGGCTCAGTGGATAGAGCGTTGGCCTGCGGACGGAAGAGTTCTGGGTTCGATTCCAGCCAAGGGCACATGCCTGGGTTGCGGGCTCAATCCCCAGTAGGGGGCATGCAGGAGGCAGTCGATCAATAATTCTCTCTCATCATTGATGTTTCTATCTCTCTCTCTCTCTCCCTCTCCCTTCCTCTCTGAAATCAGTAAAAATATATTTTAAAAAATCAGCCCTAACCGGTTTGGCTCAGTGGATAGAGCGTCGACCTGCGGACTCAAGGGTCCCAGGTTCGATTCCAGTCAAGGGCATGTACCTTGGTTGCAGGCACATCCCCAGTGGGAGGTGTGCAGGAGGCAGCTGATCGATGTCTCTCTCTCATCGATGTTTCTAACTCTCTATCCCTCTCCCTTCCTCTCTGTAAAAAATCAATAAGATATATTTTTTAAAAAAATCAGGTGGACTTTGTAATAGGTTGCCTGAGGGAGGCCGAAGGAAGGAGGGGACATAGATGATTTCCACATTTCAGGTTTGCATGAATGATGTCCCTATCCCAGAAACTGGGAATATAGAAAGAGGACTGGGTTTAGGTGGGCTTAGAGCATGCATGAGTTTGGTTTGGAGCAGGTTGAGTTTGAGATATCTTGGGGTACCTCTAAGGTATGTCATCTGGGGGCAGCATCCAGAAATGAGTGGGATAGATGAGTCTGGAGGTCAGGGGAGTGTCGGGCATCATTTGAAAAGCCAGGCGCTACTCTTACCAGGTTGAGAAATAGGTTTGGAAAGGGTTCCCTAAAAAGCCACTGCCAGATGGAATGGAACCTAGGATCATGACTTTCCATTGCATTCCATGTCCCGGGTCATCATCCCTTCCCTGGCCACTTCAGCTGGTTCCGGCCCTGCCCAGGCAGCAGAAGACATGGCACCCTCCCCTGTGGAGTCATGCCTGTGGTTGGAGGGCTCTGTTGGTGGGCAGTGCGGACCCCAGGCCACCCAGGAAGGATGTGCATTCAGAGCTTCCCTCACCACCTGGGCAGAGTCCCTGGCTGGAGAAGGTCTTGGATCCTGGCCCGAACTCAGCCACTGCTGGGAACCCCAGAACCACTTCTGTTCCTGTGGGCTCGTGGGCCTCCCAGCTGGGTTGACCTATCAAGGACGGGGGTTTTTAGGGAGAAGTTCAGGGCAGCCCTTCTGCATCATATAGCAAGCAGGACTGTCTTAAGTGGCTTCTAAAAATTCTTTTAAATGAAATGGGAAATGGTTATGATGTATCCAAGATTGTATCAGTTGGACTTCTTCAAGGACAAAGGCCGCAAACCTCACTCAGAGTGCCCTTTGATAAAAGGGAACCTGTTGACTCATACCCGA